TTCGGACTTTTGGCATCACAAGTTTTATAATCTTTCTTTTTTATTTTAATGACTTTGCAGTAAGTTGCAGTAAGTAGCCATGATAGCTATTACAGTTCTGTGTTATATTTGAATTTAAATCATAGCGGCTGGGAGTTACTGAAATCCAATAATATCTTTATTTCATTCTTAACGTAATAAAGCGAACATTTTAAATACATCTATTAAGAAAACAACAAATAACAAATTTAAGTCAAAAAGCAAACCAAACATACGCTGGCTGCTTTGGTCTTTGGTCGCAAGAAGGGCTTCATCATCGTTATCATCTTCAAACAATGCCCATCATCATCTTCGGCATACTTTTATTATCTGCCCATTATTGTTGGCTCGTCCGCCATGGCCACCTCGTCATTGGGCGCCTTGGCACCCTTCTTCTTGCCAGAATACCACAGGAACATTAGACCGCAGAAAATGTTATCCACAAATGTGAACCAGGCCAAGTAGACGCCATATCCATACCTGCGATGAGGGAGCTTTATTAGCGACAAAAAACCCACAAAAACGCACATGCCACTCGGTTCTCGTGGATACTCACGTTAACTCCGCACCATCCGGATATGCATAGAACAGGTGGTCCTTTGTGTAGTCAATGGATGAGAAAAGAACCTGGATAACAACCAGAGCTGTGGACGCAGCCACCAGGTGAATGCCGCCGGCCAGCCGCTTGAACATGTATCGAGGATTCATGAACGTATAGAAGGAGAAGACGGCGCCCAGGCTCATGACGAACAGTGTGATGCAGGCAAACGATGCCTGCGTTCGGATGTAGTCTGAAAGGAAATACCAACCCACTGCCAATTACGGACTGTCAAAACCCACAGTTGAGGAGAAGACCTACCCATCACCTCGTCGTCGAAGCCGGGCTCGTTTCGCAGTGTGTTGGAGTTGGGGAACATGTCGATATATTTGCAGCGCTCTGTACGAAAAACGATTTGGTTTGGTGATTAGTTGATCGACATCCCATCCCCCTATGGATTTCACTCACGGTTGGGTATGTAACTGTAGAAGGCTGTGTGCCCGCCCCTTTTCGGCGGCAGCGGCGGCACCAGTATCAGGATCACACGCTCATCATTAAGTACAAAGGCGGGTATGTTGATGTCGCGAATGTAGGTGGCCAGGAGACGAACGACCAGCGGGTAGTTTGTCCAGTTGCTGAATATAGCTTCCTGGGCCACCTCCGGTATCACATAGTAGGACCACGTGTTGTTGTACTTGACACGCTGCAGGGCGGAGCCAAAGGTCTTCCGCGCTATGATGCCATTGACGTCCAAGGGATCGATGGGTATGGGCTTGATGGCTGTCGCATTAAACTGCCGCTGGTTCTCCTCTGTGGACATGACCAGCTTGCGGAAGGCATTGCGAAACGTCTGAAAATCCTCCTCTTCACCACGTGCCCAATGCGCGAACATGCGACGACGGGCCGACTCCGTGAAGCTATCCGTCTCGTTCAGTTTTTCCTCTGCAAATTGCTTAACGAAGTCCATGTGTGAGAGGTTGCGCTTGGCATCGTTGATGTTCGTCTGGGAGGTGTATGACATAGAGCTGAAGTTTCGGACAACCTGCGCATTGGTCAAGGCATTAGGCACGATTGTGTTCCGACAATGCCGCCACAGTCCCGAGTGCGAGGACATGAAGAAGCGTCTGGACTCCGGTATGAAGATGCCTGAATAGAGCACATGGCTTTGAAGCATGGCATGATGGAATCGCTGTCAGTACTTTAACGCACCTGTTCCGCCGGATATAATGATCCAGTGATCTGTTGATATGGCCACAATCCAGATTATCAGAGAGATGACCATCAGCATACTGCATCCCAGCAGAAGACGGCGCTGAAACATGTAAGCCTCCATCAGCGGACGGCGGGCCTCGTCCCGACCAATTGTCGATGTGGACACGTCGCGCTTCATTTTGTGGCTGATTCAGACAAAGACACAGGCACACACGGTCACGCTCACGCTCCCGTCGTTATGGCCCCGACAACTGGGACTGTTTGTCGCACTCCGGACGATGGCAACGGATAATCCACACGCACATGGAACAGGGCACGTTCCTGGGGAGTAAGAGGGGTGGGCATTGTTGGTTGAATGGCTTTTTTTAGTAACTTAACTAACTCTCAAATCGTCCTCCCTCTAGGCAAATGAAGTCACTCGAAATGTGCGGAACATGTGTGGGACATCAGCGACGTCACTTTTGAGCAGGTGTTTCCTTTGGCATAGCATCCCCATACCCATACCCAAACCCATACCCATACCATACCCATCCCATCACAGATGTCTCTAATTTAAACAATATTTTTATATTTTTACTAAATATATTTGTGCGTACACTTTATGGAGGCGCAGAGCATTCACACCGTTCGTCCGGTGTGTGCACGAACGTGAACGTAATTACGCTCTTTTCGAGAATTTATTCATAAATATTTATTTATTTATTTTACATGTTGTTGCTGCGACAACGCAACCAGAAATTCCCATTCGAAAACCGTTTTTATTTCAGTTTTGGCTTCGACTCGGACAGAAATTAGGTAAATTAGAGAAGGAGACGTTCAAAGCACTCACAAAATATATGACAAAATATGCACGATTATTTGAATTCTTTTTTCAAAATTGTTGCGCTTCCCTGCAAATATATTTTGCGAGAATTAGGTGCGCCGACATGAGTGGGCGGCGGGCGGCGGGCGAATTGCTCGTTAAGAGTGGGCGCGGGGGGACTGCGGAGTGCGTGCACAAGTGCCGTATACTTGGCTCTGGTCTGACATCTAAATATATTATTTTTACTCTATTCCGTCTTTGTTTGAAACAATAAATGGGGCGGCTGCCTAGCCAGCAAAAGTGTCATCTTCAATTCTCGGAAAAACCCAAAGGGGATCGGATCTCATTATAATCAATGCTGATGGGCGCAGCGCCGACAGGTAAGCATACTCATAAGGAGTACATTCCTACATCTACATCTCGAGAAGATCTCTTTCTCTTCTCCAACTTCTCCACTTCCGCGATCTATTCTTGGATTCGTGCACCAGGCGCTGCAGATGCACTTGCCTCCGCGCTGCGGAGAGTTGGAGTGGAGGGAGTTGTTGCATTTGCGTCACGATTCGGCTGCGGCAGATGAAGTACGTCATTTTGGGGAAAAGAAACGATTCTGCTACAAACTCTTGTGCTAGTTTTTCTGTGGCTGTCTTAGCCAGAGGGTTTTCGAAAGTTGGCCAGATATTTGTAGACTATAGACAAAGATGTCAATTTTTGATGAGAAGCAGTTGCAGTTCAAGCGTTTGAATGAAACTTGGCACAAAGATGATCTTCGGACCTTCTGATTCCCGTAATATATCCAAATCGGATTCTTATTCATGGGTAATTACTCGTATTGCATTATATAATTTCAGATTCTTTTAGATTTCAATAAGCGTATAATGATGGCATTCTCGATATTCCCGATAAGAATATATAATAATATAAGATAATGTTCACGGTTTTTTTTTTGCACGGCACAGTATTTTAGTTTACGCATTTGATGCTTCGCTGCGTTGCCTTTTGTTTGAAACAAATTTGTCTTGAACATGCCGTTATTTTTAGCCGATATGTACAGTTATCAAGCTGTGTCTTCTGCATATACATATATATATGGTCCATAGATATAAACATATATGTATGTACATATATGTGAATTCCTGGCTGACAATATGGTTGAAACGTCGTTTATTCAAATCATCTCATTGTCATGTCATTTTTGGGCGCGCATATTGACATATTTGACAGGGGGAAATTCTATATATTTTATTTTTTTTTTAAACACACTTGCTCCTGGTTGTCGGTGGCGCACACACATCCAAAGAGACAGAGAAATGAATTTTTCGGCCGACTATTTATTTGTTTTGTGATTCCGTTCTTATTTGTTGTCGGCCATTGTATTTTTGGTATGTGCCATGCCACGCCACGCCATGCCACGCCGTCTATCGTAAGACGTCGAATTCTTTGCTTCACCTCGGGTAAAAAGAAGCCCGAATTTGAATTTTTAGTATATCCAATTAATACCTCGCATAAATAATGCCACTGCCCGGCCTCCCACACTGCCTCCCGGACCTCGGTCACAACTGATCCCGGCTGTCATTCCCCTTGATTTATCGTTATATAAGAGCGATTCGCGCTAGAGGTATGTATGTACATATGTCTGCAGTGTTTACTCGTACCATTAAGGCTGCAACGCTGCAACAGTGATCTCTGATCCAAGTCAATTGTTTGGGGATGACTTTTATGGGATCCAGCCGCTATTGTGTTGATTTGATTTTACGAGGAACGCACCCGCTGCTCTTCGCTTCTCCTGCCCAGGCGCAAACGCCTTAATGTCTAAAATAAAATTTAGCTAATTCCTCAACTAAAAACCGAGACGAAGCATGCGATAACAACAGAAATAAATAAATATACTACACAAAAACCGAACAAATTCTGTCGAAAAACTCGGAACAATCAAAGAGCGCGAACGGCGAACGGTTGACGTGGTTGAGGACCAAGCGATCGCGGCGATTCCGTCGTTGACTCCCGTCTGCTGCTGGCCAATGCAGAGCACAGACTGACTGGCTGCTGGGAGGAGGGAACACTACCGCTGCTGCCACTGCCTCTGGCAGTGCTAGTGCTAGTGCTAGTGCCTGCGCCTGTGCCAGTGGTTGGTATCGAGTCGTAGCCGTAGTTGCCAGCCAGCGCGAGTGTGGGGTTGCTGTTGCTCCATTGTTTCTTGGCCCTGCAGAGCAACATAAACATAAACTCATGGCGTTGGCAGCGCGTGTTCCACATATACAGATTTACGCATAGGAATGGGAATGGGAATGAGAATGAGAATAGGGGCGTCGCACACAACCCATCCCATGCTGCCACCTGCAGAAGTCGCCAAAAGAAGCGCTCGACGACGTCATCGTTTCTTAATTGCCCCATAAACCGAACTCAACTCAACTCAGTGTAGCAATGTGTGCATAAATTTAGAAATTGATGAATTTAGGCATCTCTTTTTTAATGGTGCACAGAGCATGGTACATGGGCAGCTATTTTTATATCCGCTCTGGCTGTAAAAACGCTCGCGGATGCTTGCTCGAATGTCCGTTCGCGATTCCCCCGGTCGCCGCTCGCGCCCTGCGATGCCATTAAACGGTGACAACGAGTTTATGAATGTTGTTAGATCTTTTGGCATACCATTAGCGCATCGTTCAGCGCAAGGGGGAGCGGCTGTCAGGCGGATGACGTCGTGCGAAAGACAGCTAACCACTTGTTGGCCAGCAAGTGGTCGTGGCTCGCTTCGCGATGTTCTGTGTGTGTATCTCTCTGTGTTTGCGTGCTGGTATTCGGTTATTGGCTTCTGTCCGTGATGCGCAACGCGCCCATATCCAGATTGAGTTCGCTGAGGAGGTCATTGGGGGCCGAGCCCTGCATGGTCAGGCCGGCGACAATCTGCTGAGCCTCTGGGCAGTTTATGCAGGCATTGCGTATGGCCAGAATGCTCCATTCGCGCATTACTAAACGAAAAGAATGAAACGTTAAGATGTGGTGGCTGAAAGAATAGACGATTGTCTTACAAGGATTACGGGCATCCATCACCGTGCACTCGAGCAGAGTTGGCAGCAGCTGTGTGTCAATGCAGTAGCCCTTGTTCTGCTTGTTCTCGTACAACAAATTGGCCGAGCAGCGTACCAGGAGCGTTTTCAGCTCGTAAGAAACCTTCTTTTCGTACTCCGCATCCACGCCGGAGGTGAGGGCCACCTCTTCCAGCTTGGTCATTGGCTTGTCAAAACCGCCACCGTCTGCCTCCTTGCCTGCCGCTACCACGCAGCGCAACAAGCTGCTAACATTTATGAACAGTGACTGATCTTCCACATACGTGTTGGCATATACTTCGGAGCCGCTGACACTGGCAATGATGCGCAGGAGCGTGTGGACTTCCCTGGGATGCAGTTCGTGGCGCAGCTTTATCGTTTCCCGCAAAATGCAGTCAGACTTCAGTCGAAACTCCTTGGCAAAGTGCTGCAGCAGGATTGGAGCCAGTTTCCCGTTCGGACTGTTCTCGCGCAGATAGTGCGTCACATAATCCAGAAAGGCTATGCGCTCCTCGGTGCTCAGTCGCTGATAACAGCCCACACCGACCCGCCCATTCGACACAATGAAGTTTTCCAGAAAGAAGTGCAAATACTCAAAGTTTAAGGTGCAATGTGCATCGTTGATGGCCTGCCACAAGCGGACGCAGGTCTGGAGAGCCAGGTCGTTACTGATCAGGCCGCAGCCGTTAAGATAAATGTTGTACATGACCATGAGCAACACGTTGTTCGAGCTTCCCAAGGGAGCGGCGCAGACCTGATCGACTATCTTTGTGCCATGCTGTGTCCAGACGAGTGTCTGAGCAGGACCGTTGTTCACCACAGTATTGGCCAGCACCTGCAGCGTGAGTGTGTGGATTGTACTTAGCTCAGTGCGCATTTGGGGATTGAAAGCCATCGCTTCTATGAAGCAGGAAAACGCTGAATTTTTTGCCACAGTCTCTTGAGCGGTGCTGCTTTTGGTGAGCAGAAGGCGCAGGCTCTTGAGCAGTCCTGTGACCTCCTCCGCATTTTCGGGCAGGCTTAAGCCAACAATCCGTTGAACTATATCGTTGGTTTCGCTGTGCTGCAAGGACATTTTTACTTGTTACATTATTTTAGAAATTGTTTACATTTTCCACCTCACCTCGTTGGAATGCTCCATTTCGATAGACAGAGTCATATCGATATATCGATAGAGCTTGTGCGGTCACACCGTTTCAGCATTACAAACACAAATGGAACGATTTTTTGCAATAAAAAAAAATAAACAATAAATAAAAGTCATGTAGCAACAAAAGCTGCAGAGGCCAGATATACAATACCCAAAGCAATGTCCCTGCGTGCTCTCAGAAAACGAGAATCGGGAAACTGTGGCAGCAACAACTACACCACCACCAACAACAACAATAACAGCTCGGTGAGAACTCTCTTTAAGAAGGCCAGCACAGCAACAACGTCACCGAAGCAGCGTTCATTAGCGCTAAAATCGTCAACTTCTAAGAGCAATTTAGACGTTCAAAAACTAATCCATCAGCGTAAGCTGCTGGGCCGCGCCACCCAGTCTTGCCCCGATCTAAGGACCTGCGTCAAGTATTCTTCCAATAACAGCCTGTTGCGCAGCAAGTCGGAGAGTGATGTGGGTACAGTAGCCTTGGCTGGCAACTCTGGTGTTCCTCTGACGGCGACCAACGCAAAGTCGGAAGTGTGTCTGCAGAGAATCAGCTCGCACAGCTACGAGCCGCAGCAGCGGTCTGCAAACAGGACTACGATGATGGGCGGTGCGCGTTCGCATCGGGACCTCACCCAGTCCTCCTATGGAAGCAGCGTGGGGGGCCATGCGAGCGATCTGGAGCCTGTGAGGCCACCGCGACGCATGAGCGAGTGTAGCCTGGGATACAGTCAGACCAGTGGCGGAGGCTACCCACGACGCAACGGCTCCATGTTTGCGAGCCAAATGACTCTGTCGTCGGGCTCGGCGGCACCTGTTGATCCCAATGCAGTGCTGCGCGTGCCAATAATTGGCTACGAGGTGATGGAGGAGCGTGCCCGTTTTACGGTCTACAAACTACGCGTAGAGAACCCGGAATCGAATGACTGCTGGCTGGTAATGCGACGCTACACGGACTTTGTCCGGCTAAACGGCAAGCTAAAGCAGGCCTACCCCAAGGTATCGTTGATGCTGCCACGCAAGAAGCTCTTCGGGGACAATTTCAATGCCGTCTTCCTGGACAACCGAGTGCAGGGGCTCCAAATATTTGTCAACTCCGTAATGGCCAAAGAGGAGTTGCGCAGGTGCAAGCTGGTGCGAGAGTTCTTCTGCCTGGACGAGCCGCCCTCGTATTCGGAATCCATGGAGGAGTGTCGGGTAAGTCGATGGTCCTACTGTTCCATATCCAGCATATCGCATATCGCATTCTGCCCTCTACAACAGGCAATATTCGAGGCGCAGGAGGAGACCATCACTCACCTGAAGATGCAGATACAGAATAAAAACGATCTCATACTCAGTTTGCAGCAAAAACTCCGTGAGGAGATGAGCGAAAAGGAGCAGCTCAGGGAGGCATTAAAGTGAGTTTGAACAAATAGTTGGGAACTACTTAAATTAGCTAAAATTCCTCTACATTTCCATTTGCAGAAACGTCAACCTGAACTGCTCGCACTGCTCCTCGGCCAACGACAGTCTGGGCTTGAAATAAGCCAGCAATAGCTATGGGGGGAGGCCAGTTCAACGTGCGCGTGGGTTCAATATTATGCTGAGCATAACCCTGCCCACCCGCACCGCTCGTGGAACACATCCATATCCAAAACCAAGTGCATATCGAGGCGCTACAAGGCTCATATCTAGTTTTAGGTGCTGTCTACGGGCAATTTATAATTCAAGATATAATATCTTATATTTACGCTCACATCAAAAAATATATCTAAGGCACAATTTACTCAACAAACTGGTTTCACTGCTCAAAGACTTGTCATGGCGGGCGGGCGGGCGTAGGCCTTTGGAATGAACCCGTATTTTCGCGTCTTGGGCGCATAGGCCCAGAGCCAACCATCCACCGTCTGATTGTTCAGATCGGCATATATCCAATCGCCCCGACGTACGGATAGATAAAGATCGTCGGGAGCCTGCGCCTTATAGTCGTAGAGCATGACCAGCTCTGTGCCATGATAGCGTAGGTCATCCGGGCCCAGACCCAGCTGCTGTGGTTGCTGCTGCTGCTGCAGCGGCTGAGGCTGCTGGCCCTGCTGCAAAATGGATTCCATGGCATTCAGGGCGGAATGATGCTGTATGTTGTTCTCGTTGAGCGGAGTTTTCTGCTGCTGCAGGACACGCACACTGTCGGCGGGATAGATGAAGCCGGCAGGCACGAATCCCTCTTGGCCATCGCTGCGCATGATCCAAAACCAGTCGGGATCCTCGCGGTTCAAGACGGTCACAAATTCCCCCCGCTCCACCGACAAATCGTTCTCATCGCGGGCTATGAAGGTGTACAGGACAATGCACCGTCCGGATGGCTCCTTTATAAACGGCGTGCATTCTGGCTCGACGTGCAAACTATTCTCAATGTTGTTGGATGAACCATTGGCGTTGGCTACAGGAATCGGGTCATCGCAGAGAGCATCCAGTTTGTTTTCTGCGCCCAGGAGCGGCATATTCTCATCGATCGGCTGCTCCGGGCAGTGTTCCCGCGGGAGTTTTTTCTTCACGGCCAATTCGGCCAGCTGGGTGTTGCATGGGGCGCAATAGGAGAATGGTATGAAGCCCTCCTGCCGCGAATCCTGACCGATCACATAGACCCAATCGTTTTCCCTGTACAGTATGTTCACCAACTGTCCCCGCTTCACTTCCAGTTCGTCGTCTACGCAGGGCGTAAAGTCGTGCAGCACAACCATTTTGGAGTCTGGACTGCAGTGGAAGGGGTTTGGATGAGAATGATAACATAGAGATCTCTGGGATCTGAGCCATACCTGAGACCGTGTTCCTTTTCAATGCCCACCCGTACCAGAGTCTCAATGCTGGAGGAGCCAGTTATACGTCCCATGCCGAGGCCTCCCACTGCAGGCAGGTCCCTCTCAATGCTCGCACTTGTGGCTGTATAACAAGAAACAAGTTTGTGGTTTAAGTCTTTCATTTTTGTATTTTCGTTGTTTGTTTGGCTTACCTTTCTTCTTATCGCGCCGCATGCGCACGGGGCAGAGAAAGGCCATGTCTTTGATGGACGAGTACTGCTGTTATGTGCTTAATTGGCTTATTTAATACTTGAGTTTGATTGTTTTTGCCTCAATTTTGGTGCCTCAACAACAATAACAATAACGATAAGAAATCGAACTTAGCCCACGTAACCCCCCTCTATTTAAATAGTTCAACTACTTGCGGTATATGGCGGAAAATATTATCTATTGTAAATTCTTCTGTAGATCCATTCAAAAACCACGACATCTTACACCTGAACTGCGCTAAAATGAGTAAATTTTCATTATTTTCGGTGGAAATTTTAAATTCCCCCTTGGCTTATAATAGGTTAATCGTTCTCCGTCAAGGATTGGAAACCATACTGCTTAATTTTGATTTTCCGTCAAATATTATGAGCTAGCTAGAACATTTAGCCCTGCCCATATAATTTTATTCGATTAATGAATTAATTTTCTACTAGACTGGTTTGTTTTTAGTTCTTGCTTTTATTGTTTTTTGGCTAAAACAAGGTTTAAAAAAAAGGCCAATGCATTAAAGGTGCGTCATTCTACATCTGACATTTGCTACATGTTAACTACATTTAAGTTTCATAGAATGCAGGGATGTTGGTGCGATAAAATCGACAGATTTGCGCGCCAAAGTGGAATTGTTTGAAAGTGGTCAGTGAAAGTATCGAATGCAGTCCAGTGGAAAAAAGCCTGCGTATGGAAGTATGCCGTAAATCCTACATCAATATATACAAAGAAGAATATGTGATGGTATAAAACCGATACGTTGTGAGCCCAATAACATGGAATTTTCGACTCGATCGTTTGACATATCGGCGCCCATCACTGGCGGGGCCATGATTTGCCGCCAAGCTTGAAATCGTTTTTGTATCAATTGCTCGCTCATCCGTGTTAATATATTAAAAGTGGCATTCAAAGTGCACCTTGACTTGACACAGTTGGGTGCAATGGTGCATTGCCACTGAACGAGTCTTCTTCAGGTGAAATATTTATATAGGTGTGAGGGTGCGTGGGTGTGTGTTCGTGATCCACCAGTTCTAACGTCTCCGACTCTTTGATCTCAATTTTTAAAGTTTTTCTACCCATGCCCATCGACCGAATCGCATACGTCACTCGCATCCTTGTTATCCTTGACAGCAGTGAAAATTTAAACTGTCAAAAGTGCGGGCAATGGACTATTTTGGTGCCAAGGATAACGCTTTCGCATGCAATTTTCGATTAAACAGAGAGGGAGAGAGCGAGCGAAAGTGTGCAAACTGACCTACACTCTGGGACAGCTCCCACCACCCGCCACCCCATGCCACGGGTTATTCCCAGTCTGACGAAATTGCGTGTTAAATTCGCTCGAATTATCCACTATCCCACCCCAGCACTTTGACACTCCTCAACGACTGAGGCAGCAGGTGCCACACCCCCCAAATCGCTACACATATCCGACATACATACATATGTACATCTGTATATGTATACATATAGCCGACACTGTTGTTGACTTTTGCCTACTACGCAGTTGATTTCACAGCATCATCGCGGAGAAGATACCCTCAGACCCGTACCGGTGCCTCACCACTTACTCCCATGCCCTATCCCAAGTCGTAATGGAGAGAGCCTGTCCGTCGAATCGATGGAATGGGGCCTGCGCAGAGTCCACCCTTTGGATGTCATTCACGAAAACATGCGATGCAGATGTGGGCTGGAGATGATCCATCAGGATGGATGCTCTGGGACGTGCTTTGTCTACGCCAAAGCACGTAATTGTTGCTTCGACATCTGTTGTCCGAAAAAGAAGAGCACCGACAGGGTCCAAAGTTATGAGTACAGAAGGGGTGCAATGGAAACAGGAGCAGAAGCTACCTACATACGAGTATGTGGGTCATCTATTTTTAGGTAAACGCGTACTTTTCACAGATTCCTAAAATAACCATTCTCCTATTCAGCGAAATGTACATAGGACCAAGGGACTCTATCCGTCCAGGGATCTGCTTGCCCGGATCATCTGTTGCAATTTCCCCCAAAGAATGGATAGAAAAGTTTCATAACATTTGTGTATATACTTTGACAATTTCAAGAATTCTCTAGAACTATTGCCCGTTTCCGTTTTGGGATTGCCGGCAATTTTCCTTTCCATTTCTATTTCGTAATCTGATTTTCTATCACATCATTTCCTCTTCTTTTCGATGGCTTCGCCCCAATATGTACATTGTGTAATGCATTTTGGCGAAACGCGGTAGAAATTTTATGGCTGAAAGAAAATGCACAGAGCACAAACGAAAACCGTAACAAATGTGGGGGAAAAATGGTTGAGAAAACTGCAGCAGGGGATAGGGGTAGGTAGTTGCACAGATGATGATGAAAAGAAGTAAACAATAATTGTGTGCAAAGAGCAACGCAGATATAGACTTTTCAATGTATAAATGCACATCTGTACATATGTATATTTTGATATGGCTAAAAATGTAGGGAATTTGGCAAGTGTCCAATTTTTCAGTTTCAACTGATTTATGTGGAATGGGGATTATCGGTTGGATGTACTCGAAGGGGGTATGTACTCGAATAGTATAATAAGCGCATGAATAAGCGATAGTTTCGCGAGCAGAAGGGAAACCAGCCTCAAATCATAGAGAAAAATCCCAAAAATCCATTTCAACGCTGCTCTCTCAATCACCCTTGCTCACATGCAACATGCAACATTGTCAAAGGACACGTACACACCACCACGCAACCCGTAAAAAAGAGCAAACGCACAGGAAGGAGAAGGCGTCAGAGGATGAGAACTGAGTGTGTGTTCAAGGACATGCATATATTATGAGGGGGTTTGACGGGAACCCGGGTATGAGCATCCCATGAACATAGACGTGGACGTGGAGGTGGGCGTAATCATTAGCGCCACGTATTTGAGATATTTAATTAAGGCCCTGTGGAAGCGATGGAGGGTGTTTTTATGGAGACTATGACGCCTAAAAGTGCAGCCCGTCCTTGTCCAGCGCCAGCCCAGCCCAGCCCAGCCCAGCACCAGAGTTCAGAGAGCGACTTACACCGAGGCGACACGAGGGGGTCATGGGGTCCTGCCTCGGCTGCATTCCATTCAGTAACAATCTGCCCACCTCTCTCTCTCTCTTGGTTTCTCTCTCGCTTTGATGGCTCCACTACAGCCGTACGATGCCTCGAGCACGTGCCCCACTCGGCGGCAGTGCTCCACTCAGTTGAGGTTGGTTTCTCGTACGGCGTGGTCGCATTCTGTTCTATCCGCATCGCGTCAGAGTATATTTTCCCCGAGTCAGTGGCAGAGTCTCTGTTGGTGTGTCAGTGTCCGTGTGTGGCAGAATTCCCAGAAAAAAGCAGCCAAAATTAGGTAAATACCGAGTGTGCCCCAGAGTGTGGCACTTGCATCTGCAAGAACAATTTGGAGGTGAACTCAGTAGATCTGGCTATACTTGGTCAGATGTACATACATATGTATGTATATCATACATCAGAGGACTGGGTCAACGCTTATATAAAATGGGAATCAGGCACAGGCAGGTGTTGCAGGAACCAGGACCTCTACGGACCCTCTCTTAGCGCCACTTCCGGTCTGGGCAAAAACTCACACAGGAACAGGAACAGACATGTTTTTCCCATTCGGATGTTTATAATTTATACGCCTTCCGTTTACTTTTATTTGATTTTTTATTTATTTTATTTCTTTTCCAAACATAAGAAAAGCTTTTCAGCTATTTTCGCTTTTTGTCTGCGACGTCAAAGACATTTGTATGTACATATATAATATGTATATAGATATATCTACGAATCGCTATATATAATATAGCCATAAAAGAATTTGAAAGAGTTTCGCTTGTTTATTTTGTTTTCACTTAGGATTGACGAGAACTGGCACGCAAAATATCCATTTGTGGGAGCTAAGGTTAAGTGCCAGACATCATCATCATCGTTATCCTCATCGGACATCAATCAATTGGGAATTTTTTATGATATTATATAGAACTTTGGTGCATAATATATCTTAAGCCGTAGCTTCGGATTGGTTTAATTGGGGTTATTTCCTTCAAGAGTACATTTTTCGTTGACATTTTCCTTTTCTTATGGGGCTATCAAGTTAATTTGTTGTTTCCTATCCTGTTCGGTGTTGTTTTTCCCCAATAGTATATTGCTTTTGTTGCCAGAACACTCCGGATACAGATTTATGCAAGTCCACAATCTTTGAGTAAGCAAATACAAACAAAACGATACCCGCAATTGCTAGTTATACCCTTTTAAGAGCGTACTATTGACATTGGAAGTAAGCATGCATATGTACATATCTGTCTAAAAGCTTTTATAGGATCCCTATATCACACAGAAGTGGGAACAACTTTTATCTTTCTTTGAATGTTACACTTACTCTTCACCGTTTTTAGGTAGCACAACCAAATTTGTTTACAATCTGCATTAGGATATCCAATGCTTCGAATACTGAGGCTTCTCTTCCCACCATCGTATTTTCCCATTTGCATATACTCAAATTTTATTTATGGCTGCTGGCCGAGTCCGAGTGCCACATCAATTTGGTTGCAAATCTGGGCACTATTTGTGTGTACATTGCTGTGTGTTTGTTTGGCCATTACGGTATCTGACCATCCATCCCCCAACCCCCTTTCACACTTTACAAAGTGCAACGAAAGTGCTTGCGAACACAAGAATACGTAGGATTTCTGGAAAGTTCGCTGGGGTTCATTTAGTGAGGGTGGGGATGGATAGCAGATTCAAGCTTCAATTGATGGCACACTGCCAGAGGGTGGCTGTAACTGTAAATTGCCCGCAATTGGACTTAATTCTTGAGCTTGCGGTTGTTGTTGCATTTTGCATTGTGCAATCAATGCTCTGCACGGGAATTGAAAGAGCAATAATTGGACAGGATTTAATTAGATTTCTTAAATAATTTTATCTTTATCATTCTTTCTCTCTCCCTTTGCAGGCTTTTCAAAAATGGATAAACAAAACATGAAAATGTGTATAAATGCCGCCGAAAATGAACGCATTAAAATGAATCATAATTGA